CCCCAAAACCCCAAAACCCCAAAACCCCAAAACCCCAAAACCCCTTCTAGAAAACTTCTTTTTGAAATATTTAAATCTAAAATGGACTTCGATTTTAACCTTACTGATGTTTTGAATGCCAACCCTGACGGCATTGTTATACTTGATGGAACTAGGAGCTTGAGGAAAGGTCCTCAACATTACTCAGCAGGGATGAAAGTTGATCCTCATCAAAAGTTAGTCAATGAAGTTGTTGATCTTGCGGGAGAAAAGAGCGCAGAAGCTCAAAAACTTCTTACAGCTGTCACCAATTCTATTCGATTCTTCAATAGTGAAGACAGGCTATATCTTGTTGTTGACCAATTCACATGCATTGGGTTACTCAAAGTAGGATATAAAAAGCTCTTCGTTCGTGATGAAATTGGGAATATGAAGGAAATTGAACCCCTCTGTGTGCTTGACTTTTATGTTCATGAAAATTATCAGAGGGAGGGATATGGAAAATACCTCTTCGAGTTCATGCTTGATAATCAAAACATTGAACCCAATAAGATTGCTTATGATAGGCCATCAGTGATGTTTCTCAGATTCCTCAAAAAGCACTATGGTCTGATCAACTATGTTCCTCAATCAAACAACTTTGTAGTTTTTAGTAATTATTTCGTCAACGACAAGACTTACAAAACTTACATAAAGGATCCAGTACAGCTAAGATCTGGAGCAGTACATCCCAAAAGCACGGCTTTAAAGAAGCAGGCTGAAAACTATGAAGAGCCTCTTTGAAGATATGAAATGCCTCAATCCTCGACTAATTCACTTCCTTCTTACAAAGAAGTAATCAAGTTGGGGCAAGATTCTACAAATGCTAAGTTTGATCCAACGAAAGCTCCATTGCATCCTACTGGAACTGGCTTTGAAGATCAGAAGGAAAATAATGCTCAAAATCTATCCGAGAAATATGATCCATCAAAGAAACCAAATGAAGGTTCTAGAGATAGTAAAAAGGTAAAATTCTCTGAATCTCCTCAATATTATGAAGCCAGGTCAAAAGAAGAGTATGATAGGAAAGCTGAGATCCCTTCCTCTGGTAGGCCCACATACAATAATTATGATGGATATCAGGCCCCAGCAGGAAGAAATTACACTGACCCAGAAATAGAAAAGAATCAATTTGAGAAGAAATTCAATAGAACAAGTTCTAACTTCGAAACTAAGGAGACTGTTGAAGAGGTATTTGCACATCCCGAATCTGAAGGTCCTTTAACAGGAACGGGAGAGCCTACCAAAGAAAAGATACCTGTCGAGTATGACATCAAAAAGACTGAGCAGCGGATCAAAGACACAGAAGCAGAATTGTTAAAATGACAAGAAAGAATCAACAAGATTCAGCTCCAGAGTGAGAAGTTATCAAAAACCTCAGAAGGATTCAACAAGTCCAATAAATTTATGAAACAAGAGAAGCATATTGATTCTACAGAAAAAGATGTGACCAAGCCTGATCCAAATTCCAGTGGCTACAACAAAAGGTTTGGTTACGCAACGGTTTATGATAACAAATTCAAAAGCATTGCGAAAGACTCGAAAGTTTTAGAAAAGGAGTTAACCAAGACTGGGTCAAAGCTTCTTGCTCAAAACCCGAATATGAATACATATCAGCACCAGGAGATGTTGAGATCAACTCCGTTTGGAGCAAATACTTCTGGGAGTAGCGCTTATTCCAAGATGACCTCATCCAGTGCATATGGTAACTTCTTCAGTAAGAGAAAGTTCTAATCAGTAAATTCAATAATTTCGAAAATAATAGGGGTTTTGGGGTTTTGGGGTTTTGGGGTTTTGGGG